CAGATGATTTATGCGACATCACGGTTGGGGTTCTTTTGCCAATGCGCACCATTTCTCAGAACTCTAAAACATAAAAAGGAGTACAAATAACTGCTCGAAAAACGAATCTGTGAACAAAGATTAAAAAGTCAAAGCCTATTTTAAAATTTTAATAATGATACAAGAGAGACAGCTATAAACTATGTACAACTGTTAAAACAAGAGGCGATGCGAACGGTTTCTCTTTTGTTTCTTCAATCTGTTCACTTAATTCGCCTGGAAGGTTCTGTAGCAGTCGGTGGCGGAGGCGGGCCGCGTTTATGAAGTTCGTCCAGGTAGGTATCTAGCAACTTTTCCCGCTCGTCAGGAACACAGTCAAGTACGAAATACCGCTTGTCGTTCTAAAGAAAAGGGTTTTATGCAAATGTTGATGAATGAATGAATAAATGTGAATGAATGAAATTCCGCATGTGTAGGTTACTACCCAGTGGCATTCCGTCCACAGAAGAGACTGAAACCATTTCCGGTTCAGGATTATTACTAAGCAAACACCTATATGTAGGCTTCAGTATCGTTCAATGCACATTTAAGTCAAAATCTGCCTTTGATGTAGGCTGAAGGTTAGGCAGATATCATTATTAGTTATCGTCGATCCATTGGTGGATGAAAGATTTTCCAAGATTTTGCTGTGGAAGTCTGTTTCCTGCCATCTTGATCCATCTTATCTTAATCCCGAACTTCTTAAACTTACGCTTGCCATCGATTTTGAGGTCTTCCTACGGGTCACTTTGTTCTGAACCCAATTGATTGCATGTTTGGTGCAACGGTGGTCAGTTCTACTTTTATCATGTCCTGCCCGTGGCCACTTTATCACTTGATACTGTTTTTACTCTAATCCCTCAATTCGTTTTCCTATCCTTCCTTGTTATTTTAACATGCATCTTTTCATTCTGCGTTGCGCAGCCTGAAGCTTACGAAGAACTTTCAGGCGTAGGGTCCACAATTCCCGTCCATATATTACCGTATGCTGGTAGAATACAAGCACAAAGGTAATTATTTTTCCGGATAAGGACATTCTCGGTCCTCCAAAAGTGCTGCATACCATTTTTATTCTTCTGTGACTTAGAGAGTAATGCGGTAAAAACCAAATATTATCACTCTTGGCTGAAAAAAATTTTCAGTTCATGTTTGTATGAACTAATACATACCGATATGGGCACATTACAACTGCGGACGGTCACATATCCCATATTAATGTTAAGCTTACCTCCAGTACAGCTAAGATATCCTTCAAATGCTGCTCGTTCTCTTGTATCATCTGTTTAGATCTGCAAAAAAATATGACATGAGTCGGAGCAGCTGAACAAGTCGAGAATTATAAAACTTTTGCCTTGGTTGAAACAATCGCAGTTTAACTACTTAATACGCCGTGTATAACATATATCAACAAAACTATGAGCGGCGAGTGAAATGAAACAAATGCAAGGCAATCTCGACTGGAGCTTGACAAGTTCTTTAAGAAAACATCTAGGTTAAACCTGATATATCCACATACCTTCTCGAAAAAGAATTTTTATTCTACGAATGGCTTATTTTGTTGCATCACGGTCCCGTGTAACACTGTACGAGCATGTTAATGCAAGATAAAAGGACGAAAGAGACCTCCTATCATCGTGCATAGTTCTTCTTAGGAGTTCCGTTACGGAAAATTGAAACAGAAATTAATCCGAACGAATCCTTTCACGTTTAACCCTTTTTTTCAATTTTGTGAAAACGCAAACCAAAACAAATTGGCAAAGTTGGAGTAAATTCTCCATTGCCGCTAAGATAGTTGTGCAAACCTGTCATGAACCTTGACAAAGTCGACCGATGACGGCATCTTACTGTCTACAAAAACAGCTGGCAGATCTTTATATGCATTTAATTTTCATAAAAATGCAGGGAAGTTGACCTGAAAAAACAGAAATCTATGATAAGGACAGGGGTGTCTTTACCAATCTCTGAAGAAAGCACGGCGAATTTTATTAATCTTAAAATGTGTTCAATGAATGGGCATTATGGAAGGAAAAGATAAATTCTTCACACCATTAACACGGTACTGATAGAGAGGTGTGGCAAAATGCAGCGAACAAAACGTGCATAAACATCATGTCACCACCCCTCTGGTTGAAGAATGGCATCTACTGTTACAGCACTATCGCATGAGTTGAGTGATCTTATGCTTATCGCGTATGTCCATGCACACCACAACTAAATACCTCCTTTGCTTCGGATAAACAACTACCGATGAAAATGGAAAAGCTTCCCACAGAACTTGGTTATTCAAATTAGTGTTTAACAGGATGACAATTTATAATAAAAGTTTTGACCAGTTTGACGCTACTTCACTTAATATGCAGCGTAGAGAAAGAATTATGCAAATTAAATCACTCTACCAAAATAAGGATTTCTAATTTTTTAACTATCTATTGCTTACTGTACATCTGCCTCTAAATAACAGTCACCAGCATTACATAAGGCTAGGCACACTATTCAACTAACATACACGCATTTAACGAAAAATGTTTCAAAACAACAATTTACAAATGGTGATGAAACTTTTTTTTACTCGCAGAATTGTTTCAACGCCACATACCAGCGGGTTCATCAGGGTAATTTTACAGAAATAAATCTGCACAAACTTAAGAAATGAGTTTTAAGGGAAAATAATGCTTGTTTCATTACTTCTTCTGGACAAGCTATCCGGTGACATTTCAGGTGTCATCACACAAACTACAAGAGTCTTCACAATCGCTACACAGTCGGCTTTTGTTTGCCATCATATGCAAAGATTGTTTCATTAAGAGCCTGATGTTTGTTCTGAGAAATGAACAACGCAAATGACATTCATTGACTAAAGAAATGAATCAAGTAGAAAGCTGGGACACAAACTGAAAATGCTCTGTTTCCCATTTCTCTGAACAGTTGGATGTTCTGCAACTCATTTCTCTTATGTTTATTCAATCTAATCGAAAATCATCAATTGTTATTCACACAGAAAAAGAACCGATACCTCCTTCAGTAGATATTATACACATTCCCTTATTTATATTCACTAACTATAGCATCTGGTATTTAATCAAATGCACATCAGGAGGGAATCACCTACATAAAGAAACCTGTTTGCAATGTTTCAAACGAATCTTTAATTGTAAAAAGAATTATAGCGTTTACTCGTTTAAATCACGTACTTGTAAGTAACAATCTTCGTTTCCTTCAGAAGCTCCCTGAAATCGCTCTTAGCCATCATCAGCTTTTGTTGGAGATAGTCTTTGAATTCTCTTTCAGTTTTCTACAAATCAGCACATGTAAATTACATGTTCACAAAAACAATGCTTCTAAATCTTGGCGAAATAAAATTAATGGGGACACACGAGCAAGTTTTCATTTCGAGGCGGTCCTATGTCCAGATCCACGTGCTTTCGATAACATCCATAATCTGCCGATAACCCAGGGTGGTGAAACACCTCTCGACATAAACAGCTGTTATCCTACCGAGCAGCATATCACTCAACCGACTTGCTTCACGGAAATCTCGCAGATTTTCCAGACACTAGGAACTACTGTACTTATCAGTAGATTCTGTCGCCAACCTTTCATCAGACAAACAGTCATTCATAAACGGTCCCAAGTAATTTAAATTTTATCGACATAGGTTCATAATAATGCCTACAGTGGTGTAAAACTTACTATGAAAGGGCTAGGGAAGAGTACTCAGAAGAGGAACAAATCAAGAACAAACCAGTTGATTAAGCATGAGACGGAAGAAAAATTAAAACAATATAAAACCTGAGGACCTTGAGATGACTTGTGCGAATAACGTCTAAACGTCTAAATATATCTTTTATAACAGCACCGATAATGTAGTTAGTTTGATGATGAAAAACCTCGCTTTTTAGCACACTTAATCAATTAAAACACAAATCAAAAATTAAAAACAGCAGTTTGTTTTACAGGCAAAAGGAAGAGTATCATTTAACGATCGTGAATAAAGCGGTAATAATGAGCAAAAAAGGCAACATTATGGATATTATATAAGCTCAAACGAGGATCTGTCATGTTCCTTACATACAGAAAAGGAAATTTACTAAACACCCTGAGCATCTGACTAACCTAACTAAAGACCTAGTTTATCGTAATATGCAGCGGTGAATGAAGTATACAATGCTTTACATGGTAAAAACATATGAGTAAATCGCTGAACTGAGTGGATGAACCCTTAAGAACATGATCCAACAAATGTAGTTTGGAAAGACTGTTATAAATGGTCACTACGGCATTGATTTGAGAGAGTCAGATAAGAACGATTTCGTAAAGACAGTAGCAAGATGATATAAAGTGCTGACCAAAGAAAGGAACTCACCCTTTCGCTAGTGGAAAACTTGGAACATCGCGGATCTTCCTTGATTACTTTCCGGATCTCCTTCCAAGTAGAGGTGAGCGTCACCTTAAACGATAACGTCAATTTGGTTACTGAACGCAGAAGGGTAAATAAAATTTACTTCAGTCGTCTCGTCGAGCAACTGGTAGAACGCTTCGCGGCGTTTCTGTTCCAATTGTCTGATGTGGTCATTGAAGAGGCGTTCTTTCTGATCGCGGTCCAGCAAATCAGCCGACTCCCAGCGATGATCTTTTCTCAGCTGTCGTTTACAGTCTCGCCAAGACTGGTCGGCAGATCGCACCTGAGGAGAGAAACGTGTCATCAGAGAAACAACGAATTTAAGATAATTGCAGGCAAAAGTCTCTGATTAATCTTTTGGCACAGTCTTTCATCTTAGCTTCACAAAAAATGGAGCTGTTGCTACGCTACAAAGCCTCGTTTAAAAGTTTGTCCTATTTTCGATTTGCGAATAGTAACATCAGTGATCAGCAAACTAATTATAGGAACAACTGTAAAACAATCCAAATTTTAAAAGATACAAGGGCAAGGAATTTGTTGTTGCTGTGTCATCGTCATTTTACGTATCAGGGTTGACTACATAGATTAATTAGGTCTGACGTTCTGCCTTCTCAGAATGAGAAAATATGGCAGAAAATATATTTTCTAAAATGGAGTGTTATGAGTAACCGTATTCTATAAATGTCATGAAAAAATTTTCCATTTAACGACTGAACTTCATTTATAACATCCATGCATCTCATTGGACTGGGCCATTTGACGAAACACTGCAAGATACAGCTGATCAAAGAATCTTTAGAACTGCTTTGAAAGAGTTTTTGAATATGGGCCCATAATTCATCAAATCGAATTGTTTTCTTGGTGAACGGTTAATATATCTAAAGGCAAAACAGTGATGGAAAAATTTTACTACGCGTTTCGCTACCAACACCACTAATATCATTTACTCTTGAGAGTAATTGTAAGGAAACGAAACATTTGTTTTACTTCTGACTTTCCGAACCATGCATAAAAACTATCCGTTGAACATGCGTTTATTCGCAGTTATGAAGTATTACACTTAATCACTTGCGGCTGGTGGTCATGTTCATTACACCCCGGAGCCTGAGTCGATACAACAGCCGTGAAAGTCCAACCTGAACGCTTAAAAGGCTGGTTGGTAAATATCTGGGACTAACAGAACTCCGTATGCTTCTAAAACAGTCTGTTTCAAAGGATACTTGAATTTTAAATAGAAGTCAGGAAGTAAATCAGTTTCGGTATTTATTGCTGAAGAAAGCATCATTAAATCTTTCCGTCACATCGCATGAACAGAGCATGATCACTTTTGCACATGTAATAATTTTTGATCGTCTGTGGGCCTTATTTTCATCACTGATCTTAATATTTATTTTCGTCCTGCATTAG